CTGCTCGCTCCTGGCTCCTGGCTCACTCCCCTCCCTGCTCCCACCTGCTCCCCTTCCACAGCCTCCCACCTGCCTCCCCGCCCCTGCTCTGCCCGCCCTCCCTCCCTCCAGGCTCCTGGCGGCGCCGAAAGAGGGGGATCGCGGTGTCTGGGGGTGTAAGAAGCTCAGCTACCACGGCGCTTGGGATGATGGACACTGGCTGGCTGAAGGGGCCCCTTCCTCACCTCTCCCCTTCGTCCCTGCCCTGGCCGCTCTCTCCCTTCAGTCACAGCCGGGGCAGGGGTGGGAGGCAGGGACAGAAGGAAGGGGAAGGAGGGGGGAGGACGGGAGGGAAGGGTGGGGCAGGGAGAGGAAGAGGGTGTGGTCTGACAAAGCAGAAAACCTCGCCCTTATCTGCGTATAGTCCCCATTCGGGCCCAGTGACTGTAGGCTCACCTTTGCTTCCGTCCCGCCCGCGTCTGAAGCACTTCTTTTCCTTTTGAATGCAAATTTCTTAAAGGAAAATAGGAGCCATAGCTGGTGTGGCTCAGTGGATAGAGCGGCGGCCGGCGGACTGAAGGATCCCGGGTTCGATTCTGGTCAAGGGCAAGTACCTCAGCTGCAGGCCAGGTGTGTGCAGGAGGCCACCAATTGATGTGTCTCTCACATCGATGTTTCTCTCTCTCTGTCTCTCCCTCTCCCTTCCACTCTCTATAAAAATTGATGGAGCCCTAACCGGTTTGGCTCAGTGGATAGAGCGTCGGCCTGCGGACTGAAGGGTCCCAGGTTCGATTCCGGTCAAAGGCATGTACCTTGGTTGCAGGCACATCCCCAGTGCGGAGTGTGCAGGAGGCAGCTGATCGGTGTTTCTCTCTCATCGATGTTTCTCTCTCATCGATGTTTCTGAATCTCTATCTCTCTCCCTTCCTCTCTGTAAAAAATCAACAAAATTTATTTTAAAAAATTTGATGGAAAAATTTCCTCAAGTGAAGATTAACAAGAAGGAGGAGGAGGAGAAGGAGAAGGAGAAGGAGAAGGAGAAGGAGAAGGAGAAGGAGAAAAAAAGAAAAAGAAAAACAGGAAAGAACCTAGAAGACATTGGACTCGGCGGTTCACTGGTCAGACGCGCCTCTCACAGTTCCTCCTCGGACCGGGGCGTGACCTGGGCCGGCCTCTGCTGTGTTTCCCTGGGTCCTGACTCCTCTTGGCAGTGATGGATTCCACATATTTTCCACTCCCCTGGGCCCAGCCCTTCCCACCCACCGCCCACAGAACCGGCCACGGAACTTCTGGGGTCCATTGCAGAATGAAAATATGTGTCTCTTGTTCAAAAGCTGGGGAAACTGCCATTAAAAGCACTGAAGTTTAAAGCGCGTCCGTCCTTCAGATCGCCGCCTCTGCGGCTGCGCTGGCCGCGTCGTCCCCTCGGACCTCACCTGCAGAACACAGGTTCAAAGAGACCACTAGGAATTTCAACAGTGTCACCCTAATAGAGTCAAGAAGAATTAGTTTTTAAGAAGAATTTCAAGACAGGCCACAGAGCATTAAGCCAAGCCCAGGTCCCGCCCAGGAAGCCGGCCCTCTGATGAGCGGATGGCCCATCTTCCCCTTGTGTCTCGATCCTGCCAGGGCCGTGGTTAACATATTTGTGCAGTATTTTGTTTTTTTGTCAGTTTTAAATATATATATATATTGATTTCAGAGGATGAGAGGGAGATAGAAACATCAATGATGAGAGAGAATCATTGATCGGCTGCCTCCTGCACACCCTACTCTGGGGATCGAGCCCACAACCCGGGCATGTACCCTGACCGGGAATCGCACTGTGACCTCCTGGTTCATAGGTCGATGCTCAACCACTGAGCCACACCGGCCGGACTGTTGTTTTACTTCTTTTCTTCTCATGGCTGTTGACTCAGGCTAAGTACTGACAGATTCCGGGCTACATTTGCCAGACTCTGTCCAAGTGCAGCCCCACTATCTTCCCGTGGGACAGTGTAGACTTGGGTCCAAGGGTTGGAAAAGGGAGAAGTTTCAAAACCCAGCTCCCCCTCCACGGCCTCTCAAGGGCTGCCTGCTGAGAGGGTGAGTGCAGATGGAGAGGAGTGGCTGGCAGTGGGCACAGCGATGGCACCAGGGCACGGGGCCAAGAGCGCTGGCATCTGTCTGCAGTTATACAGAGGAAAGCTCACGGGTGTGAGAGCCAGGGGTCCTGGGTTTGCGTTCTGCTGCTGCCACTGATGAGCTGTGTGACTTTGGGCAGGTTGATGTGTGTCTCTGAGTCTGTTTCCTCGTCTGTTTAAAGGGCCATTCATATCTATCTCACGTGCTTGTCCTATGGCGTCAACCAGACTTCATATGTGATCAGACATGGCATGGTGTCTGTCGGGCACCTTATTGGACCCAAATGCATGTGCGTGTCCATCCAGAAAGGATTCTGATGAGCTTACCCTAGAGACACAGTTTGGAAGCTGGCCTCGGAGCTCCCTGGCAGCCGTGGGAAAAGGGAAACTTGCTAGATCACCTAGGTCTCAGGGATGAGGACTGGGTTCTGACTTACTATGTGATCCTGGGTAATCGGTCCCTTCTCTGAACCTCATTTTCCCATCATGAAAGCTAGACACTGAACAATTCGGACAACGACTGGGAGGATGCCCGAGTCCCTGTGGCCCCT